GAAAGCATTATGCAAGCTGAACTTAATAACAAACACTTCTTCACTCTGGAATGCAGATCCACTTTCCGTCTTGATTGTTCTTAATTGTTTCAATTACTCAGTCTCATTTCAGCCATTGTTCGTTCTGTTTACTCTTTCAAGCAAGGTTCGTTGGCATTATTATGTGCATTGGGCTATTAATTATAATCATGTTTGGTATGGCTTACATAAAGATAAGGAAAAAAGGTATCACTCCACTTGTACAGCCACACTCCATTTTTATGTGTGTGGAGTGCTCATTTTTATGAGCTTAAAGGGGTCCTATTATGCTCTTTTACAAAGTCTTGATTTTGTTTTGGGGGTGTACTAGAACATGCTCTCATGCTTGGTGGTTCGAAAAACGCATTATTTTTCAGATAATTTACATTATTACAATACCTTTCTCCCCAGCCTGGCACAAACGGCTCGATTAGTTCTGGCTTTGATGAAGGTCCGCCTTCCGAAAAACAAAATGTGTTGTGATTGGTTAGCTGTCCCAGTGCGTTGTGATTGGTGAACAGCTTAGATGGTGTTTCAGTACTGCCACGCCCCTTGCTACGTCTTTCAACAAAAGTTTTGGCGAATTATGGCACTGTAATCCCTCATGTTGTGGAAGCTGTCCTCAGTAAAATGCGCAGCACACAATAGCAAATTGGGGTTATAATGCTCAGGAACGGAGTTAAAAAATAAATTGCAACCACTGTTTCCTGACATCATCCACTTTCGGAAGCCCAAACAAAGACGTTTGGGCACGGAGGTGAAAAAAACAGCGTTTCAGGCGGTCACACACTGGACGAGAGTCGCGTCGCACCACGTCTTTAAAATTCAAATACATTATTTTCTATGAGTGTAGGCACACCGGCGGCGCCGTTCGGCATCTGTCCGCGGCGCTACACACTGACTAAAATTAAAAAAGTGAAAAAGCATAATAGGACCCCTTTAAAGTGTCAGTTTTTTCACCCATTGTCTATGCCAAGAACACCATGCTATCTAACTTCTCAACTTTACAGTCTTGAAGTCTTGATCGTACAAAGTGGTGCTTATTCCAGTGTTCCCAGAGTTGACTGGTTCATCTTATCCAGGCCTATCATATAGTTGCTTCACTCTTTGAAAAGATCGGAGCGCTTAACTTAGGGCTGAATGATTAATTGCATTTGCGATAATATCGCGATATGAGAAAACGCGATTTTTCAATCACAGAGGCTGCGATTACACTCGGTCACGTGACACGCGAGAGTGAAGAGGTGTGTTCCACTTGAAGATCGATCGGTGTATGACATCAAAGTACGGCGAGAGAAAGCATAAGGAGACGTCCGCGCTCTCTTATAGCTCTCGCAGTACTTTGATGACACACACCCATCGGTCTAAGCAGCGCTGCTTCAAGTCGAGCGAGGGCCATCAGCAGAAAAAGAAAATAAATAAAACCGTAAACAGCCAAAGGACGTAACTTAGAATGGGAGATGGATTGGTTTGTGAAAGGGAAAAGAAAAGCCATAGATGAAGTCGCATAGACCCAGGCAGGTGCTGGTCATTTAAACGCTAAATGCATAAAATATGACGAAGCATATCTTGCTCTCGGCTTCACTGTGGTCGTCTGTCTATACAAGATGCTACAGTTGTCGTGTCGCGCCGCAACAGCTCTACACTGGACGTGACAAAGCAACCGTTGCAAATCATTTGAACTTTGTGTCAGTACGTCATAAATAGAACAAGGCATCAGTTAAATGTCGCGTCGCATCCAGTGTACACAGCGTCACTGATGGTTCTACTGTATTTTGCCGCTCGCATCCGGTGTAGACACGGTGTTTAATGTCGTTGGTGAGGAGGAAAGCCTGTGTGTGTCCTATGCCTTAGTGGACAGCATGAAACCCACAAAAAATAAATAAATATCAGAGAGAGCGAATAATAATAATAACAGTTATTCTCTCTATGCTATTTTTCAATGTTTCAAGTGATGCAGGTGTTTTTTTTTCCCTCTAGGTTTTTTTAATTAAAAAAGCATTAATTTTTCATAATGTTTAATGAAATTATTTGGTAGTCTGTGGTGGAATGGGGATTCGGGAAAGGGGGGCAGATTTTTTTTATAGGTTTAAAGGGGGGTACAACCACAAAAATTTGAGAACCACTGGTCTAAAGTTAACAGACAGTGTTTAGTGCAGTCCACATGTTTACATATGTTTATTACAGTGACTTTGAATGACCTAAAGTAGTGTGGTAAAGCAACAGATTTGTTTTTATATTTCTGCAATCTACTTTAGTTTGTGTGATTTGTTACTGACTTTCATATTAATGTTTACACCAGGCTATTTAAACATAATTATTACATGCTTACAAGGTTGGAAGTTCAACAAATCAGTCAATATACTGTGATTGTAGTTGTTAAATAAAAATGTAATTAATATCAATCACCTAATTTCATCGTAACATATAGGCCTGGCCTACAGAAAAGAACATTTATGTTTAATCTATCTATAATAGTGTGTTGGTCATACTATACAATGATTTATAGCTTGTCTTTGTTGAATAATACAGAACATAAAGAGCTTTAAAAAAATAATTGCATATTAAATCGCAATCGCAATATTGGTAAAAAAAAATCGCAATTAGAATATTTTCCAAAATCGTTCAGCCCTAGCTTAACTCTACTCATCTTGTGCTACTGTAAGGTAGTGTTCGCCCTTTCCTTCCTAGTAACAGTGAGCTTCAGGCCTATGACAAATTACCACGTGGCTACAAGAGACAACAGGCCTCGTCTGCATGCTCCTGAGGGATCTTTGTATCTCAGGGTGACCCAGTTCCATCGTGCTTCTCCTTCACCTTACCTCTCCCACCTGCCTTTTCCTCTCTTTCACTTTTACATTTGCCCCCATGTTCATACAGCTACTTTAGCCTCATTGCTTCTTCTGAACCTTGTTCTTCACCTCTTACATGGAGACGTTACATACGTCAAGTCGATTATCAAGACCCTATAAAGATTTGCCACCAATAACAAACCGTTCATCATCTCAGTTTCCTTTTGCTCACAGTGGAACAAATCATTTCCAGGAAGGAATTGCAAGAGGTTTGTGCCACAGACTGCATATTTTTAGTGGTCTTTGAACTCCTCCTCAACGAAAAAAGTTGACTGCAATGCAGTAGTGCCAGCGAGCTGCATTAATATTAATGCCTGCCCATTTCCACCACCATGGCAGGCAGCCTGTCAATCTACGCCTCATCTATAAAGGCTTGCCACTCACAATGCCAGTGCGTTACTGCCAAGTAAAATGCACAAGAATGCACCAGTGGCAGACCATTTTCTATATTGGCTACTACTTTTTTGAGTGGGATGTCTGTGCCGGTGCAGTCCAAAAGAAGTTCATGGGTGTTGCAGGTTATATCGAAACCTTGGTATTCTTTGTGTGATCATTTTACATGTCTTCACTCTGTTGATGATCACATTTTCTTGAACTTATGCATCAGTTGTACATAATTTAAGGGGCATATCCACAAACTTCAAGCCTTCATGAGCATTGCAGGTGTAAAGATGTAACTGGGCTGTGCGTGTGTGCATGCCGTGTGCACTGCAGTACAGCTGCTTTGCTGCACAGCACTCCAAATGTGTACTGAGCTGATGCTGTTTCTCCGCACTACCTAAGTAACTAGAGACTGGCTTTGGGTTTACCAGAATCCACCCTGCAGCAAAAAGCAGCACTTCAGAGGCTTCCACAAATCCATTTCATCTCTGAAATTACATTCATCAATTTCTTTTTTTTTTTTCTCGTCCTTTAGATGCATCCTCATTTATTTCTGCTCATCTTACCAGTGATCCTTTAACACCCTTAACACTCAAAGACTTTTGAGAATACAAACCCTGCATTTCTTCTTGAGCACAGTGAATAACCAGATGAGCACTGCATAAAGTGACATTTCCTTGATTCTTAATGACCTGATGAGATTGCTTGGGTATGTCAATTTTCCTAGGGTTTGAAGGGTGGCATGGACTCTGTAGTGGATGTTCCAAAGGCCCTTTTTATGTCACTAGGGCTCTGTGGTCTTCATTTTATCTGCTTTATACATGCTTGCATTCATATGCATTTACTTATGTTCATTTTAGCTACTCGAAGTACTGGACAGATAAAGCAGCCAGTATGTAGCAGATTGATCAATGTACTGTATTTTTTATTTTTTTTGTAGAAATTAAGTTAGCGTTCAACTTTGTAGATCAAATGTTTTTAATAGCCATGCTCTTTTGATTTCATGATAGATCATTACTGTCACTTGTGTACTTGTTCTCAAGCACTTGTGCCTATCACCATATACAATTGACCCTTCGCAAAAACCCACCCTCCTCAGTTACTGTTGCGATGTCCGACAAGCCATGTGCTCTCAAACTACACACCAGATCTCAGTTTTAAAATTTTCTTTTTGTATTTTTTTTATTCAAACAATAAATACCGTTTTGTGGCTCTTTAATGTGTCGTAACAGATCACTGTATTTCCTCAGTTCAAATGACACACGTGAACCAATCATCTTTTCATATTTACTTAAAGCATGAAATAAACATGAATGAACGTCATAACGTATTTTATTGCAACTGCGGAAAGACGTCAATACACACAATTTTTACGTTTAAGTCCACCGAAGGTAATCTACTCACCTCTCTGATTTGTTTGTCGGGCAGTATGGTGGATTCTGCTCTATGATTGATCAGATCGCCTGTCAAACAAGCCCTTTGCGAACGGTCAATTCTGATGATATTCTTCCTCATAATAATGTTTTGTTATTGTTCAAGTGCTTTATTACCCTTTATTTTGCTCTATTACCTCGTTACCCTTATTTAGTACTCTAGTGTTTCTGTTACTTCCTTGATTCCTTGAGTTCAGTACCCTTCATGTGACTTTCATAGCCTTACCAATGTTTTAAAAGTTTGCTCACTTATTAAATGTTTGTTAGTTCATCTTTTCAGTTGCTGAAATTTGTATTCTCATCTTTTGTTTTACAGTGCCATGCGTGTGCTGTTATCCAAACTGCCACGACCATGGATAGTGGATGAGAAAAAGGATGATGGTTACACCTCGCTTCACCTGGCTGCCCTCAACAACCACGTGGAGGTGGCAGAGCTCCTAGTCCACCAGGTCAGCAGTTCTAGCACGCACACTCACACATTGCACCATAGAAGGGCCCATCCTGGAGACCCTGTACTCCAGCAGGTTATTCAGTCCACTAGAAGGGTGAAAGCATCAAGTGCCTGTGCAGATAATAATTCAGGTGGATAATAGGTGCAGTTTGTCATTAGGCACCCAGAAGAGCTGAGTAAGTAACCCAGCTCTCATTGTACTAGGTGCACTGTACAGTCACAATGACTCTTAATGAAGAGAATATAATGTTTTTTGGGGATATTTCATGTAGATAACCCTTTAAAACAAAATATTATATATAACGTTGATAGTTTTGCATCATTGAAAACTGAATAAAGAATGCCTATTGAATTTTGAAGGGGAATTCACATTTGGATTTTAGGAAGTAGAAATCCAAATAAGTGGCATTTCCTGTCATTCCACTTTAACTACCTGTTGGGCAGGGCTAGTTTAATTCAATGCAAATAGGATGCAATGCATTGCAAGAATACAGTGGTCTCGAGCTGAGCTGTTTTAAACATGCAGGATTCTTCTGTTCTGCATGTGCGAATTTGGCCAAACTGGTTCAGTGCCTTACCTTCACACACCACAGTACAGCATGACACTGTTGCTCAGCGTTATGTCGCGGCACAGTAACAACGTTATTGCAACATTCCAGCAGAGTTATGAGAATGCTGCGCTGGCTCAGGGCAGCCCTTTGTCAATTACCTGCCATGACGGAAGAGAGGGAGAGACAAAGAAAAGGTTCACATCAGCGACTTAAGCCTCAGTCTACGAACCACAGTAGAGCTGCACTGCAGTAGTGCAGAGAGATGTTCACAGTGGTCTCGAGCTGAGCTGTTTTAAACATGCAGGATTCTTCTGTTCTGCATGTGCGAATTTGGCCAAACTGGTTCAGTGCCTTACCTTCACACACCACAGTACAGCATGACACTGTTGCTCAGCGTTATGTCGCGGCACAGTAACAACGTTATTGCAACATTCCAGCAGAGTTATGAGAACGCTGCGCTGGCTCAGGGCAGCCCTTTGTCAATTACCTGCCATGACGGAAGAGAGGGAGAGACAAAGAAAAGGTTCACATCAGCGACTTAAGCTTCAGCCTACGAACCACAGTAGAGCTGCACTGCAGTAGTGCAGAGAGATGTTGCTATGGGGTTTCAGTCAGGAAATATCTGAATACAAATCACCATTAGCTCACATTTCCTAACACAACCTATGGGGCTAGAAGGCATGCTCATGAGCAGCAGTTTATCTTCAGTAGTTGAGGGGAGACATTGCACATAGACATTAACTGAACCTCAGTTAAAAAAAAAATGTTTGTGATATGTAAATAACCGCAATCACTTTTTTGTGTTCTTTTGTAAGGCATTATGTATCTATGAAAATGTAAATATCACAGTGGCTAAAGTTGAAAGCATTTATTGTTTCTCTGTGTTGCTCTTTCCGTAGGGAAATGCCAATTTGGACATACAGAACGTTAACCAGCAGACGGCACTGCACCTTGCTGTAGAACGTCAGCACACCCAGATAGTGCGAGTAAGTGGTTCTGTCTTACCCTGTTTTTTGTTTTGTTTTTTCCTTTCAATGTTTGACATCTACACCCCTCACCTAGTGTTCTGGCTTCCTACTCAACACAAACACATTGATAAAGCAATGTAGCTAAGTGCTCCAGCTAAAGATTTAAATGCATGGAGTTCTGCAGATTTATCCTCTCCAATTGAATTAATTTAGTCCTGAGCAATCTGGACTATGCCAGGAGAGGTATGGGAAGCGGGGGTGGAAAGGGGGAATCAATGGGAGCTAAAGCACCATCTCGTGGTCATATAAGAGCAATGCAACTCTCCTCTTTTCAAAGCATCTGTATTGGCTTAGTCTATTGAGAAGGATTCTCAAGTAATAACCAAACAAATGTGCTTATTGTGTCTCACACATTACACTTACTTTCTTTTTTTCTTCATATAAATACATGATGAAATTTGACACATGCTTTAGATGTCACTGTTAGCTTGTTCATCTGCATCAGTGAACATCATTAAATCCACCACTGCTGAGAACACACTGGTTAAGTTCTGTCCTCTGTTTCTGTCCAGCTCTTGGTGCGAGCTGAGGCAAATTTGGATGTGCAAGACAAGGACGGAGACACGCCACTGCACGAGGCCCTGCGTCATCACACTCTGTCCCAGCTGCGCCAACTTCAGGACATGCAGGATGTCACCAAAGTGGAGCCATGGGAGCCCTCCAAAAACACAGTATGTACAGAGAAGGATATAAACAGTACAAGTGTTCTCAATAAAAGCTTTAGGTTAACAATGTCATGTAGTAAACACTTTCAATGCAGTGTACTTGATTAGAAGTGGCGGGATCAAATCGCAAATACTGGATTGATCAACAAGAAACAGTTTACTAGTTGAAATGATCATTTGTTTAATTAAAAAAGCGCTTACACTGTTTTATTTTTCTCCAATTCTGTTGTTTTTCCATTTTTCTGGTTTTTATATTCCGTTTTAATGGTTAAATTGCCTAAGTAATGTCTAAGTTATGTTTAATTAATTGAAATAATGAAATGTATACAATTAAAGGTTTACCAAAAATCAAATTTTTAGAGCCCTGTGACACACAGAACATGCAGACTTCATATTTAAATTGTCTTTCTGCACTTTAATATTCACAGACACTAGTCCATATCATGTCTTTATTAAGTGTGCTGCCCTACTTTTGATTTATTCTTCCAAAATTTGCCAAATTTTGGCATTCTATGTTGTACTGTAAAGTACATTTTTATGATTTAATGCCGCGATTCTCCCCACACTTTTAGCGTCACGGAAATCATAGGACCCTACAGATACATTTTGTCATGCTGTGTGCGTCTCTGCAGTTTAAGCATCCTAAAGGAAACATCCAACAACCGTTCCATGCAATGATCATTATAATTTTATGAAACATGATTTACTCAGAGACGTAAGTGTGATCAGGAGCATTAACCATATTTCAAACCACCTTTTCAAGCAAACTTGATTTCAATTTCCTGAATTTGCAAAACCGCTTTCACACCACCCAAACAACTGAACGTTTGTCAATGACACAGATCCCAAAAAAGAGCTCTAAGTAACAAGTAGTAAAACACAGACTGTGTAGATGATCTGCAACTGTAAGGGCTTTTTTCAGGCTTGTCCCTGTGTTAACAATGATAGATTGTACTCCGCTTTAAGAGCCATTTCCCTGCTGTCACACGAGTAACCGGCCCAATGAGCCACAGTTCCACTGCAGTCCAGCACAAACAATCCTTCAGGTGAGACATTCTCCACTGATTATCCCATCGCCTTTCTTGGGATTGCATATTTGTGGAAAATTGAGTGGGAGGAGAGAAAGCAGAAAGAAGACAGCTTTGGCAGACAGCAGCCTAATCAAGACATTTACAATCAAATTACCAAGCCTATGAACAGATTTAAAATGCAATGAATTCCATGTTCTCAGGATAATTATGCCACATGTGACTCAGTATTGAGAGTGAACACTTCATACAGAACCTCAGTGAGCAAAGCTAGCCGTGGTGTGGCTAAATTTGATGCGATTGGTCTCACACTGTCAACCACCAGCTTCTTATAGCTTTTCAGCTCATATAAAGTTAAATTGAATAGTTTATTGTCTGTAGGTTTTAGCCCTTAAAGGGGTAGTTCATCTGGAAATGAATATTATTTAATTTTTAGCTACTTTCCTCCCAAGAACACAATGTACCAGTTGCACTTCTCCCTCATTTACAATAAAATGTGACTAAAGTTTTCAGACAAAAAAAAATGTGACCAGTAGGGTTGTGCCGATAGACGATAGTCGGAGATATCGCCTGTGGCTGATGCCTTTGTCGATAGCAAGATGATGATTATTATTATTATCAGGCTAGTAATACTATTTAATTAATATTAGGGCTTATTTGTTCCATTATATTTCTTTTTCCAATCTGCAGGTTTTCCTCTGCCCTGCAGCTGCTTGAATTCTTCCATCAGTGCCATTGTTTCTTAGGTGTTTCACAGCACTTATGTGACCTCCCATCCCCACAGCCTTTCTTTATCTTCATTAACACATTATGCTATCAATATACTCTGGAAAAACTGTCAGAAACTCTCACCATAACGTCTGACACCAGACAGACTGACGATGCCGGTCCCTTGCACCCTATCTTTTACAGCCTTTGTAGCTCTTCTTAAGCCTGACCCCAGCTCTGCCAGTTCACATCATCGCCTCTCCAAGACTGTCGTAAATCAAGCGTTGTGTGACAGGAGGCTGCTTCCAGGCCAGCAGTCAGCCATTTATTAACACAAACAGTGTGACAAATCTCTCTCCCTATCAAGCCTTCACACATGCAGCAGATGGAGAGTCGGCCCATCCATTTAAAACACTCCAATGAAGTGATCAGTATGCCGAGATCTGCCCACTTTCATTAGCTCAATATGGTCTATAGCATTTCATCACTCCAGATGAATCTGTTATACCAACATTACATCATGGACATGAATGGGGCTCTTTGTGTTTCTTTACACAAGTCAATGAATGATTATTTTAGTCATGTTTAATATGACAAGCCTCACTGTTAATGTTGCTTATTGCTTAACAGAGATTTCAGTTAAGTGATTTGACTTCTTTCTTTTTTTTTTCTTTTTCTTTTACTTGCAAATGATAACTCAGAAAAACTCTCAAACACCAGAACACCATTAAAAACGAACTAAGCATTTCTAAGCATTTCAGGGGACCTTTAAGTAAGTTAGTTTGTATTCTCATATGCCTTTATAAATAGATATACAGAAGATGGAATTCACTCGATGGAATTAATGGAAGATGGAATTAATTTATTTATATATATATATATATATATATATATATATATATATATATATATATATATATATTTTATGCTGCACTGTTCTTATTTTAATGGCATAATTAAACTTCAACATGGGTGTTTGTGACTTTCATAGATAATCTGTATTAATCTGCTGTATTTGACTCTGTTTGTGGTGAATCTTCACAGTTAATTATGGGATTGGGCACTCAAGGGGCTGAGAAGAAGAGTGCAGCTTCTATTGCTTGCTTCCTGGCGGCCAATGGAGCTGACCTCACCATCCGTAACAAGAAGGGCCAGTCTCCTCTGGACCTGTGTCCCGACCCCAGCCTCTGCAAGGCCCTTGCTAAATGCCACAAAGAGAAGACTAGGTATGCACATCTGCCCAAACAGTAGGGCATCTATTGAAGCTTGCAGTTCAGACATTTGAAATTGACTTGTGTTTCCTGCTATTTATTAATTTTGCTATTCACCCTTTAATTATATTTCTCTTTGTCTCAATGTTTTTGTTCTCTCTCCCTCTTCCTCTCTTGTCCTCAGTGGGCAGGTTGGCTCCCGTAGCCCGTCTCTAAACAGTAATAATGAGACTCTTGAAGAATGCATGGTGTGCTCTGATTTGAAAAGGGACACGCTTTTTGGCCCCTGTGGTCATATCGCTACCTGCTCTCTCTGCTCGCCTCGCGTCAAGAAGTGCCTCATTTGTAAGGAACAGGTCCAGTCCAGAACCAAGGTACAGAAACCCACCTTACTAGTTTCATTGGGTATGCATATATTCTCACGTGCCCCAGTGAAAACGTCTTTTTCTCATTCACAGATTGAGGAGTGTGTGGTTTGCTCTGATAAAAAGGCAGCTGTGCTTTTCCAGCCCTGTGGTCACATGTGCGCCTGTGAGAGTAAGTCAGCTTGCTTTCTTCTCCCACACCACACCTCTTCTCTCATCGCCCCATGTGATTTTCTCTCATCCAGACAAAAAAGCTCTTTCTGTCATCTAACTTGAGAGAATATCACACATCACATGATTATGATACAGATACTGACATCTAGGTGTTCACGCACTGGATGAGCATAAAATATGGGTGAATCTCTCAAAACTTGTCTAACACATGCCCTGGTCATATTTGTCTCTATAGGACCATTTGATAATTGTGAGAATATTTTTTGACATATAAGCACAATTTCCTTAAATTGTTATTGTTGTAATGCAAGATTGTATCATTTTTATTACTTAAAATGAAAATAGAAAAATTATTTGTCAGATGTATACATAAATGATGATAGTATTTGTTGTACTGCCTTTATGGTGATATTATAATTTTTAATAAATCATTGTATTATAGTAATTTGAAGGAAATTGTCTGGATGTATTACAGTATTGACAGTTTGGGGTTAAAATGCACTTGTCATGCATGACAAAATGCAAAAAGAAAAGTAAACTAAAAGTAGGCTTTTTCGGAGTACAAAATATAATATCTTGTTTTTTTTCCCCCAATTGATTTGTGGTATACGACCTGGACAAGTGCTTTACAAATTTGAGATTTACTTTTACCTTAAGTTAGTGTTTTTTTTATATATTTTTTAATTTTAAAAACCTCAGAAAAAGTCTATATTTTTATTTTTTTTCTCACCACAAATAGAGCCATGATAGCTGGCATGGTGTTAAATGATAAACAAACAAACTCTACCTTGGGAAAATCCAACAAAAAAATGAAGCACATCACAGTGATGAAAAAACGTCTTAGAGGTTAGGTTGAAGCTAAGAGAATTGTTTGCTCTCAGCTAACATCCCTCCTACCAGATCCCTTGAGTTTCGTTCTCTCTATTTTGCCATTTATCACTTGTCAGCAAGACCCTCCCTTTCAGTTTGGTTTTATTGCCATTTTTCTGCCTTAACCTCAAACTGCAACCTCCTGTTCTATGGGTATTTACTTCATTTTCTGACTATTTAAAGGTGCCATAGAATGAAAAACTGTATTTACCTTGGCATAGTTGAATAACAAGTCTGTACATGGAAATGACATACCGTGAGCCTCAAACACCATTGTTTCCTCCTCCTTATGTAAATCTTGTGCATGCAAAAGACCACTGAAAAACAGGTGAATCAGAACATAACACTGACTGTGACGTTACAGTCGGGATCACTAATAGTTACGCCCCCAACATTTGCATATGCCCGCCCATGTTCTATGCCAGCCGCCAGCAGTACCTGCACAGCCGAATCATCAGAAGTTCTGCAGGTATTGGGAAGAAACGAGCGAGGATAATAGCAAAAATGGCAGATTGTGGAAATAAATGTTATGTTCCAGGCTGTGCAGGGGATGTGATGTGCAGGGAGGGATGGGTTGGTGTCTGTATTCAGGAAGGCACGGAAAACAAATAACGCGTTCTAATAAAATAACACGAGCCACTAAAGGGACATGTTAGCTGTTCGCTAGCGGTAGCCGGTTACATTACAGTACATAAGATTTCACTTAACACATAAATGGAGTAAGGAGAGATGACAGGATGATGGCAAATGATTTACAGATCCTGAGCACCAGGCACGTGCGCACATAGACATAAAAGGGGGCTTGAGCACCTGCTCTTTTTCTTCCTCGAGAGAAAGTGCCCTTTTTTTCTGGGGAGTCTTTTTTTTTTGATAAATGAATATATGTATAGCTATATGTGCGCGTGTGTGTGTGTATGTGTGTGTTTCTGTTTGCGCACAGCTTTCCCTGTCAAACTAATAAAAAAATTGTCGGGAAATGTTGAGACTGTCGAGTTCTGATGCCCCTCCGCACCACAGCAGTGTAGCACACGTTGATCGGCACATGCGCATCAGGCAGAGAGCTGCAGAAGCGAAGCCCTCCCTCCCTTTCCAGTTGTGTTTGTCTTGGTGTGGAGGTGAGTGGTGATGAACAACAGACTAAAAGCTACATGTGCCTCGAATTTACAGCTAATTACCCAAAAGGCAATTATAGTTAATTTGTCTTGCTAACATCCATGGCTCATGAGAGCTACATGATTCAGTTCACTGCATGATTCAGTTTATTAAAATGCATTTAGAATGATCACAAAATTACAAAGATATGGGGACAGAAATGTATATATTTATATAATTTCATATTGTTAATCAGTATCACGCGAAGTCTGACGTTTTTTTTCCACCAAAAAGCTGCATGATTGCAAATGTGATATTGATTTTATACAGCAGTTCAATAAACAAGAATTTAATATTAAGATACTTAAGTTTTAGACACAAAATTGACTGTTTTGCTTTATTTCGCCAACAAATATAATTGCAATTTGCATCTCTGAGCAACATGACGGTGTTTCGTTCCTGAATGAATCAACCGTTTAAATGATTCGGTTCAGTCGCAGTGACTCGCTTATTAACAGTGACTTGCTGCCGCCTACTGGCGGTTTTAATTTCACATTTAAAGTATCTTACATTTTTTTTTTTTTTATAATTTCAAATTTCAGTATTCAACGTTTTGTTTAAAATATCAAAACAGTATGAATGCATTTGTAACTGCAGGTTAAATACATTCATGTCCTGCATTAAACAGTGTGTAAATGCATCTAAATGCTCCTTAATGCAGCTTCTGTGTTTTCTCTGCATTGCAAAGATGGATTTTGTCAATACTGATTTCATTTAAAAGGTAAAAATCTATTTACACTTATTGGAAATGATTAATTTCTATCACTGCTGTGAACTGATCACCACACAGAATATGAAGAATATCAAAAACTTTAGGAGTCAGCTGTCCACGGCAGTCCTTAAGATATCAGCACAATAACACACTCAGCAAAATATCATCTAATTATCGTTATGAATAAAATCCCAGAAAATATTGAGATATATTTTTTGTCAATATCGCACACCCCTAATATATTTAACGTTTTGATTAGAAAAAAACGATTAAAATAAATATGAAAAGTGCCATTTTTTCCACTTGAGTCCCTGCCCCTCAAAATGTCTGTGCACGTCCCTGCTGAGCACCACTGGCAAGCATCTGATCTTGTAAAATGTGTGGTAAGTATTGCCGCTGTAGTTCACACAGATCATGCGCGATCGCAAATCTCGAAAGTGAAAGTAAAATGCGATTGTGCATTTGAAAGCAGTTTCAATGCCCCGCATATTAATAGCAGCTCCCTGATGTCCACATTTTATATACAGTATAATTACCCAATGATATAACTGCAAGAGAAGGTATTGAAATATATGTTTTCCCTGTGTTTCCTTCCTGCTGTGTGAGCTACTGAAATGAGCCGCACTGTGAAACAGCTAATATGAGCAGAGCTCAACATTATTATTCATGACTCTTCCAAATAAGGTAAAAACAGACCATTTCATTCTAGGGACAGATCCTAGGGTTGTAAATGGACATGTAAAACCGTTTCTGGAGATTTTTTGCCCTTACCTAAACCACATACCTTCTATGTAGATATCAGAGAAAAATTAAAAATATTGTAGCAATGCACTTTATGGCACCTTTAACAAGCTTGCTTAACCCTATAACACCTGGCATATGAAATAATAGTCAGAAATGTTTTATTTTTAATTTTTTTTTTATTGAACTGGTAATTGAACCATTAAACAACTGACCTTTTAAATATTTTCTAGTTTACATGTGTATTTGTTGAGTATAAGTTGGAGTATAATGGCTTTTATGGCTCATATAGTAAAATATAGGAGAATATGGAGGTCATATTTGAGGTAAAAATACCTCCGATTACTGGAGTATATTGTGTACAAAAGGTATTTCAAAGTTTTGATTGTTGAAAATGTAGAGGCCTTAGAAATTTGAATATCAAATATATTTGTGTGTGTGTGTGTATTAGTGCTGTCAATTGATCAAAAAAAACTAATCACATTTTTTCTGAAATTAATCTTGATTAATCCCACCTAACATTGAAGTTTTTAAAAATACTTTTACATCGCAATGATTTCACATTCAATCTTCAAATTAATGTAGAAACGGCATAATAGATTTACATTTTTTGTAGAATGGCATCTTTTTTATGACTTAAGGACACCATACTACTGATGTCTCTAGGAAATAGTTTTCCCCCTAATATTTAACCATTGACTATAGCTATTCAACATTACACAAGCTATCAATTTGAAACTTTATTAGACTACTTCAAAAAACTCAATCTTCACATAAACCCATTATAATAAATGTCATAAAGTTATGACAAACATTTAATTCTAAATTAAATATAGATGAATCCTTAAAGCTACAAAAGTTATTGATTTCCTTTTTTTTTTCTTTTTTTGATCTTTGATTAATAGACATCACAGCAGCTGGTTATTAGTTTTTTTTTGGCTGCTATTTCTTTAAGAGCTGCCGCTGCTGAATGTGAGGCTCATCTGACGACGGATCTGACACACATCTCTTTACCTATGGGCTAGTTGCGTATCTCCGCCATCTTGGATTTCCCGTCTAGCGAGTGTGTGCATAGATACTTCCGGTTTTGCTAAACGCCAGTGCAGAGAGCCGGAGAAATCCAAATATTACCTTTTATGTTTACAGGATTTATAATATCACTGGAAATACAAATAAGATCTACACTGCTATTATTACTATGCTATAAATGTTAACTGAGCCAGTGGCATTGGAAACTTATGTATGTTTGTGTCCGGTGAATGAATGAAATGCATTAATCAGTACTGTTCACGAAATAAAAGTTTGAAATGAACTCATGGTGCGTTCACATACATACACTGTCTTTTCCCCTTACCAATTATGTAAATATACAAATTACTTTTCTCGAAAATGTTTGTATTACATTGACTTTAAAACTGAAATACATTTACCTTCTGAGACACTGGCAGCAATTGATCGTGTTGCCAGATCCAGCTATTATAAGTGTTTTTGGATTTGTCTTTTCTACTTAATTTGACACTTTAGAATGTTAACAAAGTAGGAAGTTGGGCTACACTTTATTTTGATAGTTCACTTTAGACATTCCACTAACTATAAGTAACCTTGCAACTACATGTCAACTAATTCTCATTAATGTGCAACTACATATCTACTAACTCTCAGAGTAGACTGTAAGGATAGGTTTAGGGTTAGTAGAATAAGTTGACATATAGGCTACTTGCAAAGTTTCTCGTAGTCAGTATGTTGTATGTTGTGGACCCATCAAAATAAAGTGTAAGAAGATATTAAGCAGACAGTTTGCTAATACTCGGAGTTGCAAAGTTACTTACTGTTAGTATGTCTAATGTGGACTATCAAAATAAAGTTTTACCGGAAGTTGCAGTTTAAGGTCAGCAATATCTTTATATTATTTTATTTGCAAAAGATTTGAAATAATTGCTGTTTATTATTATTTATTTTTCGTTTTTTGTTTGTTTTAATAGCAATATCTGGCAACACTGCATTGCCGGCACTTAAACTGACAGTAATCAAAAAAGCCCATGACAGGTTTATTGCTGACAGGACACCACATTCGGTTGGACAAACAAACAAAACAAATCATGATATTATCTGTCAGAAACGTTATCAACGCTGTCAAAAACAGTAGCGTATAACACTAGTACAAAGTAGAGTAGAACAAGTAGGTTACAGAATGAAATGAAATGCGCAAACACCATGAAGAAGTCTATGCTATGTCATTCAGTATAGTAGTTACATTTTCACAAATCATCCTGAAAACATTCATAAGAGCGCTAGACAGAGTTATCAGCTATATATCGATGGTTATTAATAAAAACTATATATAGGATTAGAAGTTAACTCTGTACTTCGTGTGTTTGCATTTGTGTGTGTTCCTGCAGACTGTGCCAACCTGATGAAAAAGTGTGTACAGTGTCGGGCCGTGGTGGAGCGCCGCACTCCCTTCGTTTTGTGCTGTGGAGGGAAAGGTATGGAGGATGCCACTGATGATGAGGACCTTAGTGAGTGAACTTCCACACGTTCCCGTTTTTTATTTCTCTTTCCTCTCTCTGCCTTGGTTCTCATGTCTCATGTTTAATATTTATGTTGGCTTTAGTTGGTGCTTCTCTGTTTCTATTGCCCACACACATTTCTCTCCCCATTGTTATGACTAATCTGTTATTTCCCAAATGTGTTTTCATGACTCAAATCAGACTTGTGGCCCCTCTTCTTAATGCATAATATCAACACCCTGGAATGAGCTTTGTAACTGCTCTGGAATGTCTTCATAACATGCACTACAAGTTCTAAGGATTTTTAGGAAGTCACTCCACACAGACGAGTGAAAATGAATCCCCCGAATTCATTTTTCACAGAACACATCGAATATTTCTATAATTGGACACGTCAAAGGGGCTATCCAAGATTTATTTTAGTCCCATATTATTTTGAGTTGTGATTCACCACTCTTTGTTACTACATCGTTCCTTTTGTGTGTGATCATGACACTGCCCATGTTCTTTATGTTGGTTTAGTTTGAGTTCAAAGGGATACTGGTGTAAGTTCACTTTTTTTACAGTGTTTATTTATAGAGAGGAGGATCTGTTTCTTTTTAGCCTCGCTTAGATGTCTAACACATCCATCCACGCTGACATCTCTGCTGACCTACAGACATGCTGATCCACACAAACACGCACACACTCGCACACAGTCCAGTCAACAGAGGAATGTAGCCTTTAGCTCTTATCTCAGTCTGTCTTTAGTGCCTGAGCTCTGTTTGTTGTAAGGCGCCACTTTTCCACACACACAAAACCAAAGCAGCATCCCGTGTAGACCTAACACACTTCCCCCCTTTCTCCATGTGGAGCAATGAGAGAGAAATGCCACCATAGATGGGATTCTCTTCTGCTTCAGTCACTTTAGTCCCCACATACTAGAGGCTCCTCACTCTAAAAGTGGACGTGATAAACTGGCATCTGAAGGCTTTGGTCAATCACATGGGCCTAGAACTTTATTTCCACTGAGGAGAACTTGAATATGAACACAGGAAACATCCACTAATGATGCTGTCAGACAGATTCTACATCATTTTTAGAAAATAAGATTGGGGGACTGTTAAATGACTTGGTGGAAATGATCCAGTCTTGTTAGCCGACCCCTGAGGCCAAGAAATGTCTCTCACTATGCCGCCATAAATTTCCCCCTTTGTGAATATCCATCTAATTTTTCCCCAACTTGTCGGGCTTAAAATGAACCAGTCTGTCTTCTTCTTTCATACTAATCCATCATAATAATCTCCATTTCTGGCCTCTCAACACTTAAGGCCTCTAAAACCTTTGCTGTAAATGTGGTGTTGTTTTTTTCACTGAAGGAAAACTGAAAAATTAGGTATGCACGATATATTAATACCATATTGCTTATTGGCTGTTATTGGATATGTTTACATTTCAAAATTGGATATATATTAGGTGGTAATAGATATGTATTTGTGGGCTTATTAATATGAGCCAGAATTGTAATACCAGTGCATCCCTACTTAAAATCTTTATTTTATAATAGTGACTGTCGTCACTTCTGCAGCTGTAAATGATGGATACCTTGATGAACAAGGCCTCCCTTCCACAACAGCCGTGTCAAAAACTTACATTAACTTGCTCTTCCATTTGCTCCCCCTAAAGGATATTTATAACTAGAATATGCCACCGGCCAGGCTGGATTGGCCCCCAAGCCAATAGCAGGGGTGCATGCATTACATAACACTGTGACTGGTTGCTTCTCAGCAGGGGGCTGTAACTCAATGGCAGGGGGGTCGCAGGATCTTCTCCAGCCCAACAATCTGGCACTGAGTTGGTGTAAGTATTCTATTCCTCACCCCAAGTTCTTCCTGCCTCAACTCCTTCCTGCTCCTTTGGGCTCAAAGTCCATATCTCTACCCCAGCATACGTCATTCTCTCTGGCCTGCACTACACGAATAGGAGAGGCCGTCAAGTGGGACCGTAGGCCTGCTTGCGGCCTGCTGCGATTCAGTGATGCGGGTTGATTCCGCACCAGGGTCCCCCATATAAACCATATAAAGTGTCATAACAGGCACAGAAACTTCTAGAATCATCAAGTAATTCTGTACATTTTTGACAAGTTAGAAGGCTCTGGGATCTGCAAATGCTGAGACCCAGGGCTCCAAGTTCACCAACTGCATGATTGGCTAATGAACCGGTGATACTTTTCTCAGTGGTCTCTGCTTTGCCTTTCAGCCAGCGGAAATATCCCAGCCTTGCAGAGGGACAAAGACAACACTAATAGCAATGCAGATGTACAGAAGTTACAACAGCAGCTGCAGGATATCAAAGAGCAGGTGAGCATTGCAGTTTATAGTAGGGGTGTAACGATTCACTGGATTACTTGATGCATCAGTCACAAATTTTGCCGATTCGTTTGCATGGATATTGAAATGTGAATTTTAAGTAATCTTTTTAGGTCAATAATTATTAAAAATGCTAAAAAATTGAATCGCATTTCTGTAATGTTTTATTCAATATTTTAAAATATATGAGCATTAGTAACATGCACAAATTAATAGATACGAGTGCAGCGTCATTTGCACAACTCAGAATAATTTTTCAAATTACCGTGTTGACAAGTATTCACACAGTCGGTTATGTCTTAAAAGGTTAGTTCACCCAAAAATGAAAATTACCCCATGATTTACCTACCCGAGGCGATACGTTTGTGTAAGAAAAATATCCATATTTACAACTTTATAGACCTTAATCTCTAACTTCCTCTAACTGTCGTACGCACGTTTACGAGAGAGTTGCGTCCAGCGGATGACTTAGGCGTAGCGTAAACTCCGGTGAGAATATGCTAGTCTCGGGAGAAACCAGCTTTGTTTACAGCAAAGGAAAACTAGTGTCCTCTTGGTTTATATTGAAATCCTCTGACATTTTTCTTTACAAATCCTCGTTTTGTACTTCTAATTCGTAACCGGTGTTTTGTTTTGCTCTCTCCTCTGCGCTTCCACATTCATCACTTCTGCTTTTGCCTACGTGCTATGTCATCCGCTGGACGCCACTCTCTCGTGAATGCGTGTATGACAGTTAGTGGAAGCTAGAGATTAAGGTTTATAAAGTTGTAAATATGGATATTTTTCTTACACAAACGCATCGCGTCGCTTCAGAAGGCCTTTATTAACCCCCCCGGAGCCGTGTTGTCTTCTTTTATAATGGATTGGTTCAATTTTTTGGACTTCAAATTTTGGGCTACCATCCACTCCCATTATAAAGCTTGGAAGAGCCAGCATGTTTTTTTAATATAACTCTGATTGTATTCGTCTGAAAGAAGAATGTCATATACACCTAGGATGGTTTGAGGGTAAGTAAATCATGCGGTAATTTTCATTTTTGCGTGAACTATCCCTTTAAGTGAACAAATGTGCATTAGGTCTTAAAGTGACAGCAGTCTAATATACCTGCTGCTGCCTACTGTTCTTAACATTAATCAAACAAAAGGCAATCAGTTTCTCTTTAATAAGAATAGTGGTTGTTTAATTGATTAAAGCGAAGGCTATTCAGCTTTTTATTTCCATGGTATCTCTTATTTCAATAATACTGTCAGACTGACTTATCGAATTAAGATGTTCTGAATTTGCTAAAACCTATGAATCATGATTCAGATCGATTTACTGTCTAACCAAAGATTCAAACCCCTAACTCTAATAGTTTTCTGCATATGCAATTTTAAGCAGTAATTGCTCATGTAACATGTTTGCCTTCCACTCAGACTATGTGCCCCGTGTGTCTGGATCGCCTAAAGAATATGATCTTCATGTGCGGTCATGGCACTTGTCAGCTCTGTGGAGACCGAATGAGCGAGTGCCCCATTTGCCGCAAGGCCATCGAACGTCGCATCCTACTTTACTAGAGCGTCGGGCCATGTCAACATCCCTGTTTTCCAGCCACAGAGTGTGCTGCTGCTCTCATAAGCACCTTTTCTGTATCCGCTAAGCTAAGGGTCATCAGTGTTACATCATCATCTTTATTTTATCTTTTAGGCTCGATATTTGTTAAGTTAACTTCAGTTTTCTTGGATTATGTTCCGCAAGAAGAAGAAGAATCTTGCTTAACTACTCCATCTTGCCATTTTGTTCATGCAAGTGCCCACTTTTTTTTCTGCCTCGAGCAGTTCAGCAACACCTATAAGACATGAACTGACACTGTCAGGATCTGCTAATGTTTCATCTTTTATTATGTCAATGTATTATGCTCATATATCCTGATGCAAACAGTTGTATCTACAGTCATGATAAAGCATGGTGAAATGTAGAACACGACTGAACTCTGTCCCACTGAATCTTTGGAAATTCATTTTAAAGTCTCATTCTGTGTGACGTAGCATTCAGTTTTAAATAATGTGTAAATGTAAAGCATCTGCATTTACTGGCAGAAGAAAGTTTGTCGTGCTCAAAGAGTGAAATAAAACATTCACCTTTTACAGCAGTACTGTTAGTATAACATTGCATGTTCCTCTCTTGAATTGCTGCTGTACTACAGTATATACACAGAGTATTATTGTGACACCCATGTTGATGATCGGTTCGTCACCTGATCAATGCAGATGCAACTGATCCTTGTTGTCTTTAAAAGGATATTCATTTACTATACAACCATAATTATTGGATTGTTCTCCAGCATTCCTACTTTTACTTTATGCACCATATTGTCTTGCCAGATATGTAATGCAAAAAAGATTTGAATAGAAATTGCTGGTCTTGTGCCATTCTTCCAAAAACATGAAAACATTTCATTACCTTTTGGGAAAAAGGTGCTGTTTATCTTTACCTTACTAGTTAATTTATGTATTTTTACCTTTTTCTTCTAAATCTGAAAGACCTGGAATATACTATGGAATATCGCCTGTAAGCTGTAATTGGCTTTAACTTACTTTAATTAGGCCACATGCACGCCTGACCAAAAAGAATTTGCAGTTGAGGACTGTTCATCAAAATAGTCTTTCATGAACAATTTGACATCTTTTTGTGCTTGTCAAACTATATTTCAATTTTTTTTCCCTGTAGCCCGTTCCCATCATGGAGGAGGTCTAAAGTTACGTCTACAGTTGTTTCATTTCAGTGTGACTCAACACTGCGAAACAGACATTTTTACTGGAAGCAAAAGTAGTTTCATACTTTACCTTTTAAAGATTTGTATCTTTTATGGTCTTTCTTTTCCAGTATTATTCTTTTTGTGATCATTTAACATTAAAAACTAGATGCACTAATATACCTTAATGGTAGACTTGTATTGTCATGGTTACTCAAACAGCCTGTTTTGTACCTTATTTTCAGTACACAAAAAACTGCCCTGGCTTAAGAAACATCTTTTGTTGTTGAATGAATGTTTAATGTATGATGTACAACATTTATCATAAGAGAAATTCTTTTTTCCTGTATTGCAATTTGCTTTGAAAATGCATTGCCGAATAAAGATCTAACAAAACGGAGCAGAGTAGCTACTTCACAAAAGATATCGCGTTTTCGCCTTTTGTTTCCAGACTCGGTCACTTCAGATGATCAGAATGAACAATCCAGAACTTAATGTTGGGTTTTCTTCATTAGATGTTATTGCTATTCCCTGAAACGATCCTTTACATCAGAATAGAATAATGGCAGGTAGTCTGTCGACTAGGGTCTTGTGCGTTTGAAATAATCCAATTAGACAAAACGATCCGTGTAGGGCCAGTGTGGTCATGCTTGAAATCATTAGAAGATTAAACTCAACTCATCCACAGAGAAAGATGTAATGGAAAAGGGCAGCACGACACATCTCTTGAGCCTTGCTGTGGTCGTAACTGAGAGCTTTTACATCCTGTGTGTCGACCGATTCATTCATAACCACGACTTCTCGTCTTCTGATGACAGAGCGGCCTCTTCCTGGGGAAGAGCCATAAACCACTCAGCTAGCTCCGATGTTTCTTCCAAAAATCTGCGGATCCTTGATTCTTGCAGAGTGCGTTAATGGTGATTTGTAACATCTGAAATTTCATTCTTGGCTCTCATCTTCCTGCTAATGTCCCCTGTGCCGCACAAGTGTGTTTTGAGCTGCGCTGCGTCAGCGAACAAGTCATCCGAGCGTTTTTGGGCCTGAGAAAAGAGTTTAATGGGGCTGATTAGAGAAATGGGCCTCGGTGGGATCTGCTGACATTCTGTCATCCGGACTGCAAGCCTGTGGTCATTGCATCACAGAACCGTGTCTGTTGTTTAGGATGTGGAATTATATTGACACCTCTGAGGTGGAATTTAATCTGACTATCATAAACTACCGTTCAAAAGTTTGGGGTCAGTCAAATTAACCCTTTAACTGTCACCTGTCCCCTCTGTGGGACGCCTAAGTTTACTTCACTATATTACAATTAAATCCTAATCTAATAATGACAAACTATATATCGTTGGAAAGGTCTAAGACTCCTAAATAATTTTTTACAAAAACATTGGTAAAATATCTATGTAGGAAAAGTAATAGATTGATTTATGACAAGGTGCACCTCAAAAATCTACATCATAACAGGAGTTCTGACCGTTGTCAAAAAAAAAGTCTTTGTTGCCTTTTTCTCGATCACACTTTAGAAATCATCAGAAATTATATATCAGTTGAAAACTTTCAATCTCAAAATTCATCCTTTGAAACCCATTTTAAAATCAAACATTGCATTACCATGAAAACGGTACATCAATATCATGTCACAAAATGTTTTCGTTCGTGAATTATACAAATTTTTGTTTTTGAATCTATGTTCAAAAATGTGAGTGAAAGTTAAAGGGTTAATAAAGGACGATTTAAATAGCATACATCGCTTATGCTCACCAAGGCTCCCTTTTCTGATCAAAAATACAGAAAAATAGTAATAGTAAAATATAACAATTATTTTTTTATTATTATTATTTTAATATATATTAATGTGATTTTCAGTAGCCATTACTCCAGTCTTCAATGTAACATGATCCCGCAGAAATCCATGTTGAAAGCTCTTATGCAGCTAAACATTTTTATGGAAACTACAGTACTTTTTTTCAGGGTTCTTTGATAAATATTAAGTTCAAAGGAGCAGCAAATTATTTGTAATAGAATTATAATTGTCTTCACTGTCACTTTTGATCAGTTCTTTGCTGAGTAAAATATTTGTTTCATTGGGGGGATAAAATACTGAACTTTTGAATAGTAGCATAATTCATTAAAATCAAAATAAATAACAGCAAAATGTAAAAAAAAAAAAAAAAAAACTGGTGCCACTGCTCGCAAATGTTAGTCTGGAGCCGTGTTATGACTTCAGTGAACATAAATGTGCGTTAGGTCTTAACGTAACAGCAGACTAATAATATGCCTCCTGCTGCCTATGTTCGTAACGTTAATCAAACAACAGAAGGCAATCACTTTTTTTTTAATAAGAATCAAGTCAAATCGAATTGATTCAGTGAAGACGATGTAGCTATTTCTGTAGTATCTCTTATTTCAATAATTCTATTAGACTGACCTATTGAATTAAAATGTTCTGAATTTGCAAAAATTGTTCCTGAATAGAAAACCTTTTGTGAATCAAATCGATTCGATCTCTAACCGAAGATTCACACCCCTAATATATATTCTTATGCATTTGCAATTTTTTTGCAGGAATTGCTCATTTAACACGTTTTCCTTCCACTCAGACTATGTGCCCCGTGTGTCTGGATCGCCTAAAGAATATGATCTTCATGTGCGGTCATGGCACTTGTCAGCTCTGTGGAGACCGAATGAGCGAGTGCCCCATTTGCCGCAAGGCCATCGAACGTCGCATCCTACTTTACTAGAGCGTCGGGCCATGTCAACATCCCTGTTTTCCAGCCACAGAGTGTGCTGCTGCTCTCATAAGCACCTTTTCTGTATCCGCTAAGCTAAGGGTCATCAGTGTTACATCATCATCTTTATTTTATCTTTTAGGCTCGATATTTGTTAAGTTAACTTCAGTTTTCTTGGATTATGTTCCGCAAGAAGAAGAAGAATCTTGCTTAACTACTCCATCTTGCCATTTTGTTCATGCAAGTGCCCACTTTTTTTCTGCCACGAGCAGTTCAGCAACACCTATAAGACATGAACTGACACTGTCAGGATCTGCTAATGTTTCATCTTTTATTATGTCAATGTATTATGCTCATATATCCTGATGCAAACAGTTGTATCTACAGTCATGATAAAGCATGGTGAAATGTAGAACACGACTGAACTCTGTCCCACTGAATCTTTGGAAATTCATTTTAAAGTCTCATTCTGTGTGACGTAGCATTCAGTTTTAAATAATGTGTAAATGTAAAGCATCTGCATTTACTGGCAGAAGAAAGTTTGTCGTGCTCAAAGAGTGAAATAAAACATTCACCTTTTACAGCAGTACTGTTAGTATAACATTGCATGTTCCTCTCTTGAATTGCTGCTGTACTACAGTATATACACAGAGTATTATTGTGACACCCATGTTGATGATCGGTTCGTCACCTGATCAATGCAGATGCAACTGATCCTTGTTGTCTTTAAAAGGATATTCATTTACTATACAACCATAATTATTGGATTGTTCTCCAGCATTCCTACTTTTACTTTATGCACCATATTGTCTTGCCAGATATGTAATGCAAAAAAGATTTGAATAGAAATTGCTGGTCTTGTGCCATTCTTCCAAAAACATGAAAACATTTCATTACCTTTTGGGAAAAAGGTGCTGTTTATCTTTACCTTACTAGTTAATTTATGTATTTTTACCTTTTTCTTCTAAATCTGAAAGACCTGGAATATACTATGGAATATCGCCTGTAAGCTGTAATTGGCTTTAACTTACTTTAATTAGGCCACATGCACGCCTGACCAAAAAGAATTTGCAGTTGAGGACTGTTCATCAAAATAGTCTTTCATGAACAATTTGACATCTTTTTGTGCTTGTCAAACTATATTTCAATTTTTTTTCCCTGTAGCCCGTTCCCATCATGGAGGAGGTCTAAAGTTACGTCTACAGTTGTTTCATTTCAGTGTGACTCAACACTGCGAAACAGACATTTTTACTGGAAGCAAAAGTAGTTTCATACTTTACCTTTTAAAGATTTGTATCTTTTATGGTCTTTCTTTTCCAGTATTATTCTTTTTGTGATCATTTAACATTAAAAACTAGATGCACTAATATACCTTAATGGTAGACTTGTATTGTCATGGTTACTCAAACAGCCTGTTTTGTACCTTATTTTCAGTACACAAAAAACTGCCCTGGCTTAAGAAACATCTTTTGTTGTTGAATGAATGTTTAATGTATGATGTACAACATTTATCATAAGAGAAATTCTTTTTTCCTGTATTGCAATTTGCTTTGAAAATGCATTGCCGAATAAAGATCTAACAAAACGGAGCAGAGTAGCTACTTCACAAAAGATATCGCGTTTTCGCCTTTTGTTTCCAGACTCGGTCACTTCAGATGATCAGAATGAACAATCCAGAACTTAATGTTGGGTTTTCTTCATTAGATGTTATTGCTATTCCCTGAAACGATCCTTTACATCAGAATAGAATAATGGCAGGTAGTCTGTCGACTAGGGTCTTGTGCGTTTGAAATAATCCAATTAGACAAAACGATCCGTGTAGGGCCAGTGTGGTCATGCTTGAAATCATTAGAAGATTAAACTCAACTCATCCACAGAGAAAGATGTAATGGAAAAGGGCAGCACGACACATCTCTTGAGCCTTGCTGTGGTCGTAACTGAGAGCTTTTACATCCTGTGTGTCGACCGATTCATTCATAACCACGACTTCTCGTCTTCTGATGACGGAGCGGCCTCTTCCTGGGGAAGAGCCATAAACCACTCAGCTAGCTCCGATGTTTCTTCCAAAAATCTGCGGATCCTTGATTCTTGCAGAGTGCGTTAATGGTGATCTTGGCTCTCATCTTCCTGCTAATGTCCCCTGTGCCGCACAAGTGTGTTTTGAGCTGCGCTGCGTCAGCGAACAAGTCATCCGAGCGTTTTTGGGCCTGAGAAAAGAGTTTAATGGGGCTGATTAGAGAAATGGGCCTCGGTGGGATCTGCTGACATTCTGTCATCCGGACTGCAAGCCTGTGGTCATTGCATCACAGAACCGTGTCTGTTGTTTAGGATGTGGAATTATATTGACACCTCTGAGGTGGAATTTAATCTGACTATCATAAACTACCGTTCAAAAGTTTGGGGTCAGTCAAATTAACCCTTTAACTGTCACCTGTCCCCTCTGTGGGACGCCTAAGTTTACTTCACTATATTACAATTAAATCCTAATCTAATAATGACAAACTATATATCGTTGGAAAGGTCTAAGACTCCTAAATAATTTTTTACAAAAACATTGGTAAAATATCTATGTAGGAAAAGTAATAGATTGATTTATGACAAGAGTGCACCTCAAAAATCTACATCATAACAGGAGTTCTGACCGTTGTCAAAAAAAAGTCGTCTTTGTTGCCTTTT